TTTGTGTCAAATGTCATCTTATCTCCAAGTATCTTTCAAATAATTCAAAGGAAAAGACGGATGAATCAGATGTGGCAAAATGTTAAATATTGGTGAATTTAGGGGCGCCTGGGTGGCTCAGTCAGTTGGGCATCTGCCTTCAGCCCAGGTCTCAATCCCGGGATCCCGGGAGCAAGCCCCATGTCAGGTACGCTGCTCAGTGGGAAGCCTGCTTCTCCTTCCTCTCCCTCTGCCTGCCACTACCCCTGCTTATGTGCTGTTTTTCTCTGTAAAATACATAAATAAAATCTTAAAAAAAAAAAGATTGGGGAATCTTGGGAGAATTGTATGGGTGTTCACTGTTGTGGCGATTTTTCTGTAGGTGGAAAAGTTTTCAAAATAAAAGTGTGGGAGGAGTTTACATCAACGATATTTCTGCAACTAAAGATTTACTAATGGAAGCCTCTTTATTTCAAACAATCGCAATATATTTGGAAAGATACAAACCAGAACCAAGCAAAAGACAGAAGCTATACACACCACCAAAAAAAGACTGATTGATGTGACCATGTAAAAATGTAAAGAAAACAACTCTCCATCTACAATGGAAAAATAAAAAATAGTCATAAACTAGAGGAAAACATAGAACGGGAATAAAAAAAAGGCTACTGTCCTTGCTATATACACTCCCTCTTATAAATTAGTAAGAAAAAATTAAATATTTCCAGAAGAATGGATGCATATGCCCAGAAGGCATGAAGAAGTAACACAATAAAGAAAAAAAAATAATAGCCAATATATATCTTTAAGCAGCCAATCTCCATAGTCATCAAAGGAATTTGAATTAGGGGCCCCCCCGGGTGGCTCGGTTACCTTAGTGTCTGACTTCAGCTCAGGTCATGACCTCAGGTCCTGGGATCCAGCCCCTGCCTTGGGCTCTGCCCTCAGCAGGGAGTCCGCTTCTCCCTCTGCCCTTCTTCCCCTCCCCCTATTCATTCTCTCTCTCAAATAAATAAATAAAAATCTTTTAAAAAATGATGATATGGATATATTTGTACAGAAAGGTGTTCATAATTTTCAGTGAAGAGAAGCGAGTTAAAAACAGCATGGTGAAGATGGTCCTATTTTTGTATAAATATATTTACATACGTACATATGCATAAAAAAGCCTAGAGGGACATTCTCCAAAATTTGTCTAAGTGGTTTTTTGGAAAAAGGTTGTTTTTTTTTTAAACAGATTTTATTTATTTATTTGACAGAGAGATCACAAGTAGGCAGGGAGGCAGGCAGAGAGAGAGAGGAGGAAGCAGGCTCTCTGTGGAGCAGAGAGCCGGATATGGGACTTGATGCCAGGACCCTGAGATCATGACCGGAGCCAAAGGCAGAGGCTTTAACCCACTCAGCCACCCAGGCACCCCATTCTAAGGATATGTTTTAAAAATGGGAAACTGGGTGTTTTGTTTTCAATAACATTAAAGAAAAAAGCATTTGTATCTGAGATTTATTCTTTTCCTTGGCACAGTCAAGGTCGAATTTAAGGAATATAAGGGATCCCTTAGATCCTCTAGTCTCCTGAGAACACTGGGGCTCAGTGAGCCCACTGAGACATCCAGGCTCCCCTGGAAGAAGGTTATTATGAATGCTTTTCTCCTTTTGATTTCTGTATTTTCCAAAGTGTTTACAATAAAAATATTGCTACTATAATTATAATTTTCTTTAAAAACACAGATCTTTTTCAAAAGATCACAGGTTAACATTCCTTACTATATCCCCTATCCCTGGAATAGGACTTGGCACGTGATAGGTGCATAATGAATGAATGAGTAAAAGAATCTGGCCCGGGGCGCCTGGGTGGCTCAGTGGGTTAAAGCCTCTGCCTTCAACTCGGGTCATGATCTCAGAGTCCTGGGATTGAGCCCCACATCAGGCTCTCTGCTCAACGGGGAGCTTGCTTCCCCCTCTCTCTCTGCCTGCCTCTCTGCCTACTTGTGATCTCTCTCTCTCTGTCAAATAAATAAAATCTTTAAAAAAAAAAAAAGAATCTGGCTCAATTCATGGATATGGTTGAAATTTATACTGTAAAGTGAAATCAACCATGGACTTAGAGTCACAAGGCCAGGGTTCGAGTCCTGGCTCCTGCTTTAACCACGTGGCTGTGATTACAATGCCTTAATCTCTTAGTTTCAGCTTCCTTCTCTGAGATGGGGGGAAAAACTACCTCTCTTAGGAACCCGTTATGAGAAATGATATTATAAATGAAATAGTTTGTAAAGTACAGAGTCCTACATGTGTATTAGGTATGATGACGGCACAGTGGAACCTGGAAGAGGTATCTCACATCAAGGAGGGTTCTAGACAACGTGGGTTTCATCGGAGAAGACTTCTTAGAAGATGTGAGATGTCAAAGGAGACAACGAATGTAGAAAGTATGCCACAAAAGTAGAGCTGTGACCCATGAACACCATTTGGAAGGGAAGACAAAGGTGCGCACTGGAAGGAGCATGGACCCCTCGGCTCCGGGGGAAGGGCTTCCTGTGAGTGCTGAGTGCAGGTAAGAAAGCACAGCAGCTGTTCGGCCAAGTCAGGAAGCTTCCTGGAGGAGGTGATCTGAATAATGGGTGAGACCACATGTCTCCAGCGCAACCCTTCAGGGCCTGGTCGTGCCCTGTGGATGGTGGGCAGGTGTCAGGTGAGAACACGGAGGAACCACAGATGCAAAACTGCCTTCTTTCTTGGGCCACAAAGCACAGGTGAACTAACACTCAGATGTCCCAATGCCCTCTCCAGACCAAACTGCAAAGTGTACCCAAATTGATAATTATTTCTATGATAATTGTCAGTGCTTGTACTGATAATGCCTTGCTAAAGCATTATCAGTGCTTCAGTAGTGAGATTATAATTAGTAAAATTATAATTACAAATATTATAATAAAGTATAATTAGTGAAATTATAATTTCATTATATTATAGACAATATCAGTAATTCAGCATATTCTGTCTGCAGAATGTCTGTCTGCAGCATACATTGTCTGCAGTGAATTCAGCATAGTGAACTTGCAAGGATATACCTTAAAGACTTTTGTATAGTGAGGATGACTATAACATCAACAATGAACCTGAAACAAGGGACAAATGAGTGTCTGTCAGGTGACTGGTAGCCTGGCCTGTTTTTTTCACATATTCCTGGAGAGAACTGAGCCATTACCTTGGAAACACTGACCAGTGAGCCGGTAACACAAGAACTTGCCCAGCTGGCTTTCTGGAAGTCCAGCAAAGCTTTCCACCCTCCAGCCTTGACGGATTTTTTTTTTTTTTTTTTTTTAGATTTTATTTATTTATTTACCAGACAGAGATCACAAGTAGGTAGGGGTGGGGGGGGAACAGGCTCTCTGCTGAGGAGAGAGCCAGATACAGAACACGATCCCAGGACCCTAAGATCATAACCTGAGCCAAAGGCAGAGGCTTAACCCACGGAGCCACCCAGGCGCCCCAGCCTTGAGTTTTCTAATTTCTGGAACCCTTCCCTCTCTTCGTCCCTCAGCACAGATAATACCCTCTCATTCCCCATACCTGGATGAAGTTCCCTTCATATTCAAAGAAAAGCAGTGGCCACGTGATGCTGATGATGGAGGGGAAGAGCTTCTTCAGAGGGGTCTGGAGAAAGAGAGAGAGAATGGAGCCAGAGCAACATCCTCAGGAAGACCTTGCTGTAATTGCCACCCCAGGTTCCGTCCCCAAGGCTGGACCCTCACCGGCAGGGTCTGCCCCACGGTGCTATGCGCCAGGGCCTGGATGTTGGCAGTCTTCTCCTTACCTGCTCCACCAGCGCCTGCACCTCCGTGAGGTTGTTTAGGAGAGGGGAAGGGGACCAGAGATGAAAGCTCTTCTTCCTGTTCCCTGCGGTCCAGTCAGGACACGTGCCCCTCTCCCTCCCTCGGAGCAGGTGCTTTAAGACCCAGAAAAGTGACAGCTCCCCTGAGTCACTCCCCTGCCTCCATCTGCTCACCCCACCGCTCCTGCCTCTCACCATCCAGGGCAAAAATGAAGACCACAGTGTCGATTTCTGTGAGGGATGGCAAGATGGAAGTCAGGGAGTCCTCTTGGGAGAAGGAGAACTGGGGACCCTGGGCACGAGAAGAAATGCCTATTCAAATA